TCACTTCTCTCTCTCTCTCTCTCCTTCCCCCTCACTTCTCTCTCTCTCTTTCCCTCCCCTCACATCTCTCTCTCTCTTCTCTCACATCTCTCTCTCTCTCTCTCTCTTACTTTCCCTCCCCCTCACTTCTCTCTCTCTCTCTCACTTTCCTCCCCCATACATCTCTCTCCTCTCTCTCTTACTTTCCTCCCCTCATTTTCTCTCTCTCTCACTCTCCTCCCCCTCACATCTCTCTCTTCTCTCTTTCACTTTCCCTCCCCTCACTTCTCTCTCTCTCTCACTTTCCTTCCCCTCACATCTCTCTCTCTCTCTCCCTCACATCTCTCTCTCTTACTTTCCTTCTCCCTCACTTCTCTCTCTCTCACTCACTTTCCCTCCCCTTCACTTCTCTCTCTCTCTCTCTCTCTCTCTCACTTTCCCTCCCCTCACTCTCTCTCTCTCTCTCTCACTTTCCCTCCCCCATACATCTCTCTCTCTCTCTCTTTACTTTCCTCCCCCTCATTTTTCTCTCTCTCTCACTCTCCCTCCCTATCTCTCTCTTCTCTCTTTCACTTTCCCTCCCTCACTTCTCTCTCTCTCTCACTTTCCTTCCCCTCACATCTCTCTCTCTCTCTCCCTCACATCTCTCTCTCTTACTTTCCTCTCCCTCACTTCTCTCTCTCACTCACTTTCCTCCTTCACTTTCTCTCTCTCTCTTTCTCTCTCTCTCACTTTCCCTCCCCTCACTTCTCTCTCTTCTCTCTCTCTCTCTCTCTCTCCTTTCCCTCCACCTCACTTCTCTCTCTCTCTCTCAATTTCCCCGCCCCCTCACATCTCTCTCTCTCATCTCCTCTCTTTTCCCTCCCCCTCACTTCTCTCTCTCTCTCACTTTCCCTTCCCTCACATCTCTCTCTCTCTCTCTCTCCATTTTCCCGCCCCCTCACATCTCTCTCTCTCTCATTTTCCCTCCCCCTTACATTCTCTCTCTCTCACTTTCCCTCCCCCTCACATCTCTCTTTCTCCCTCTCTTTTTTCTCCCCGCTCACATCTCTCTTTTACCCCCCCCCCCATCTCTCTCTCTCTCTCTTTTACACATCCACACATTATTATTATCAATATAATCATTCATTATCCTTATTATTTCTTTTATTATTGGCATCATATGTGCATGTATTTTTTCTCTCTCTTGAAGTTCATAATATTCATTAACATAAAAACATATTACATGTTCAAGCTTTAAAAACACAAGTCATTGACAATAAAACAAAATCATAAAGAACTGAGACCGCGTGTTTAAATGGAAAAGTTTCCAGATATTTCGAATGACTAGCAAAAACGGAAAAAAATTCTGCGTTTATGGTCTTTCAATTCTGGATAAAGTATGATATAGAAATATATCTAACGTATTTCTGTAGTAAAATATAATCACTGTTAGGCTTCTCTGGTGATAAAAACAACAAATTCAATGTAGGCCTACGTAACAAATTTCAGGCTGATATTCAAGCTTATCTGGGCGGAGTTTAAACGATGACGTCAAATACCCAGCGCGCTTCTCGTAGATGTTGGAAAAAAAATATATCTAACGCGTTGGGAGTTTTTGATCTGCCAAAGACGGCTTTAATTATATATTGAAGCTAATGGGAAAGTGGTAATTTTTAACGCAAAAAAAAAAAAAAAGATACGTCCTATGCTGCAGCAGTAACCAACGTCACTCGTAGTGCAAGTAATGTTAATCAACAGCTTGCAGTTAAGGATAAAAAGATTGCTGAAAAATTAAATATTAAAGCGTTTTAAGCAGGGGAGCGCTTGGCAAGAATTCTTGCCAAGCGCTTTACCGTTCCCTGCTTAAAACGCTTTCCAAGGCAGGCAGGCCCTCTTCAGTGATGCCAGACATGTGGAAATGTCTTTTTATAAAGTACAAATCATAACAGTCCTTGATGAGCATAGAAATATCAAAATAACACACAAAATATACATAGTTGGGTTTTAAAAGCAATATTCCCACCAACAATCTCAGAAAGAGATAACTTATGCACAAGTCGAGGGTGGAGTTTATTTCACCTGCGGTTGGTAACAGTTTGAGCGCGCAATTCAAAACAACTGACAAGCTAGCGCCGCATCAAGATGGCAGAGAAGTAAATAGATTTACCCAAACATCTTAACAAAGCGCTATATTTTCTCCTATATTCATATAAAGTGCCTCTAAAACAATGACACACTTCCGATTAACAGCCCTTTCATTCTGAAGCGTTATCAAAACAAATTAATATCCCTGAATCAAAATATAGGCCCACCCATTCCCATATATCCGATTTTATGAGGTTAAATATAATAAATCATCGAATATGATATCAACAGAAGAATGTTACTAGAATTTCTCAGACTTTTTCACTTGAAATATTCTTTATTTCATAGAATATCAGATATATTCTCGATTTAGAAAGACGAGAAGTTTAACAATAAGAGTAAAATTATTCGTTTTATAATCATTTATTATTCATAAGTAAAACTTTATTCCCATAATCTCCATTATCTCCGTTCGTTTTCAGTTAATTTCAATTTCTTTGAATATGATTTTAAGAAAATTACAGAATCAGATACCGTGAAAAAATTATTTATCTGATAAGATATTAAGCGGAGTTCCTGGTCAACGGCCGCATTCGAAGGATCGTGACCAGTACGGTACGCGACCGACACCGTTGCCATGGTGACGGTACACCGCTTGACTTAGCAAGCGCAAGTCAAGCCATCTCCGGAGGTCGCTTGAGAAAGCAAGCGAAAGGCTTGAGTTGGCAAGAAAAACGCTTGAGATTTCAGGCAAGAACTTTCCCTGCTTAAAACGCTTTTAGAGTTCATCATCTGGCTAAACTGACTGATCAAATGGCTGAATCAACGCAGCATAAACTTCTTAAGGAGGCTGATACCGAATCACAGTCAATATCGCACCTCCCTGTCTAGGCACCGCCTGTGAGGACTTAGCCTGGCTCTCGTCAGTTTCTTGAGAAATTAGTCATAATACATCACGTTATCTCTGAAGTGAGACGCAGGACATGGACGCTTTTCTTCTTCGTCTTCCCCTTAGCTCGGGAGAGGAGGCGCGTCCCTTTCAGAGAAAGAAAGAAAGAAAGAAAAAAAAGCAGTCTGCGCGTTAACCATTATAAAATGGAACTTTCGAAGTCTTAGAACTAAAGTAAATGATCTTTCATTATTAGCCTCATCTTATGTTCCCAACATTATATTCAAGAGATCTAAAGAGAGAGAGAGAGAGAGAGTATAGGTATCGAGAGAGAGAGAGAGAGAGTATAGGTATTGAGAGAGACAGAGAGCGAGAGGAAAGCTATCGAGAGAGACAGTGAAAGAAAGCTAATCGAGGGAGAGAGAAAGCTATCGAGGGAGAAGAGAGAGAAAGCTATCGGGAGAGAGAAAATCTATCGAGGGGGAGAGAGAGAAAGCTATCGAGGGAGAGAGAGAGAAAGCTAGAGAGAAAGCTATCGGGGAGAGAGAAAGCTATCGGGGGGAGAGAGAAAGCTATCGGGGGAGAGAGAAGCTATCGGGGGGAGAGAGAAAGCTATCGGGGAGAGAGAGAGAGAGAAAGCTATCGAGGAAAGAGAGAGAAAGCTATCGAGGGAGAGAGAGAGAGAAAAGCTATCGAGGGGGAGAGAAAGCTATAGCCATCGAGGGGAGAGAGAGAGAAAGCTATCGAGGAAAGAGAGAGAAAGCTATCGAGGAGAGAGAGAGAGAAAAAGCTATCGAGGAGAGAGAGAAAGCTATCGAGGGAGAGAGAGAAAGCTATCTGAGGGAAAGCTAGAAGAGAGCGCTATCGAGGGAAAAAGAGAGAGAAAGCTATCGAGGGCGAGGAGGGAAAGAGAGAGAAAGCTATCAGAGGGAAAGAGAGAA